AACCTCCTAAAAGTAAATTAGAGGCTTAAAACAATTCATGCCACACAGTGGCAAGCATTTTGAGCATGATTCAACATTGTATCCCCCACTCCAAATTTTCTTCCTCTGCTCCCCTTCAATCTCAGCCTGTTTGCACGCAAACCCTTCCGTTCTTCAAAATTACTAAGATACTAACATATATCTTTCTTAACTCTTGCTTTATTATCTTTAATATAGTCACTTCAGGTTTCACTTGCTCCCCTTTAATCCTTCTACTTAGCAACGCCTTTATTAAACAAGCATCTACTGCATAGCTCAGCTGTCTTTATCCAGATTCTTACTGCTCGAAGTTCAAGTTCCCACCAGCCCAGAGTCAAGGATTACTATACTGTGGCTACTGAAAGACATTTACCACTTCAGTGTAAGGGACCAAACAAACTTCAAATGCCCAAAACATAAAAATAAGTGTTCAACTTAATTGCATATAACTAAAAACCACAGAATCAAGATTTTTTTTTCAAATACAAAAAATGTATCAGTCATCTACTATCTATAATCACACTGAAAGCTAATCATGACATGATTCTAGAATCGGTGTTACTCAAAGCTCAGTATAACAGGATACAGAAAACATTAATGAGATTTATTATATGGTTCACAAGACATCTTGTTTTCTTCCAATCTCTCCTTTGCCTTTCCAGCCCTCTTTACCTCAGCAACTCCAGACTAGGCCTCCCACGACACTATGGTGAATAGAAAGAACCTGTGGATGTTGCATTATTTCCAGACTACCAAGTGTGCAGAGCATGCCAGCTGGTGACAAACATATAATACAAAATAAGACAGCTCAACTTTTCCTTCGTATTTCTCCCCCCTACTCTGCTGTCAGTCTAAAATGTGTAAGATTCATTAAAATTAAAAAAAAAAAAAAAAAGATACATGGCATAGTCACATAGACTGTGCTCTACAAAGCCCAACTTAATGAAAAGCTTACACAGTGATGTAAATATTAAATACATAGCAAAGAAACAGCAGCAGCTAATGCAATTCTGTGCTTTACTTACTACCTTCCAGCAGAACTCATATTTCTAACCACTCATTTCTTCCCGTTTGCAGCACCTCTAGCATGTCCTTGGTTTCACTGCTACTGTGCTCTCTTTTCTAAACTTGAGACTCATCCTGGCCAGGTGAGTTTTGCAGAACAGGAGCAAGACTGCAAAGCTGTGCCCAAATCCACACACTCTAAGAAGTCCTTCCTTCTCTTCAATGCGGTATTATTGTTAGAGGTCACCCTAAAACCCTTAATAGCATGTAAATTCCCTAGAAAAAATATTCCCAGAATATTCCAAGACTTCAGATTCAGCTTTCCACATCAATGTCAATGCAGTCACATGCTATTGCAGTATAACTTAGGGCAACAGATATGTCTATTTCGATGAATCTGCAAATAGGTGAACACCGCAAGAACCTCAACTTCAGTAAGTACAAAATTTTTACTTGCACGTAACATTATTGTGCAGGCTTAATGCGCTCATTTTCTAAGAGTAAACAATGAGAAAATCCCTCTTCAGTCCACTCAAAAGGATTTGTTTTGCCATAATTAAGAGAGACCAAAATAAGAAACTAATTGGTCAAAATTTTACAAAAATAGAAGGCATTAGAAATGTAAATCACTGTTTAAGAAACTAACTCCCAGCATTTGCTTTTGCTTTCCATATAGTTCACCACAGCAGATAGTTTCTACACCACTACTGGAAAGACACATCTGAAGACATTCCAAGGTATACAGTCAAACGTTGCTATCTGCTCACATATGTAAAAACCTTGGAGACTCTGCTCAATTTGATTCTTAGTACCGCTAGTGATTATTTCTCAAATTTCCACATCTGATTTTTATCTGCAGCATTACAAGTTCTCATTTCCACATCAGCACGCCCCTCAGCAGTACGATAAGCAGTAAGGCACTTTCCAGAATGAGGATGATAAATAGTCCCATCTTCTTTGAAATGCCATATAATAATTTCTGGGACAGGAGATCCATCTTTTGGGCAGCTCCTCATACCTATGAAATCCTCTTGCTCAGGGACTTCAGCACATAGCTCCGTCACAGAGTTAAACCTAAACTCTTTATTTGATGTGTATTCAAAAAATTGATTCCCTCCCTGACCATGACATCCAAAGAGAGAAAGGTGAGCTCCAGTAGGATTATGCTCTGGTAAAACGTAGTCAAGACACTCTGACGATATGCCCATGCTGCGGACAGCACCGTGCCAACCAGGACGATCTTCTGGTATGTGCAACTCAGAAAAGACATTTTTCAAATACCAGTTAAAACTCTTGCATTTCAAACGCTCTCTTAGTAGCTTTCTCTCAGAAATATCTCCATAGTTTTCTTTTCTCGCTGGAGGATTTCTGTTGTAGAAGTGTTCTTTATACTCATCCATCCACACCTCAGCAGCACGCGCTGTGTTCTGAAGGAAATTCGGTCTAGCATACGGAGCACGCTTTGGAAACACATGGCCTACATGAGAGCACGGATGAATTTCTAGCATGCCTCCACACTGCCACACTCTAAATGATAACTCTAAGTTCTCTCCTCCCCAGACATCCATTCCTGTATCATAGGTACCCAGGTACTCAAAATACTTCTTGCTGACAGCAAACAAGCCCCCGGCCATAGTTGGGGATCTGATTGGGTCTGTTTCAGATTTGCGCCTCAGCCGTTCGTGTTTCGGCACTGAGTGCCACTGGAACGTCAGTCGCCAGTCGAAGCCCCCGATCATGGGCTCCGCTGACTGCATGTAATACTCGAATGTGTTCCAGTCGATGGTGTCAATAACAGGACAGATCACAACGGTCTCATTCTCGGCAATTCTCTCAAGCAATGGTTCTAACCAACCGGAGACACACTCGCAGTGACAGTCGAGAAAGGTGAGGACATCACCAGTAGCAAAGGTAGCTCCAATTAAGCGCGCGCGAACCAACCCTTCCCGTTTGTTGGTCCGTATCAAACGAACTCTTTTCAGGCTGCTTATGTACTTCTCAAGGTCAGTTTTCAAATACACTTTATCACTCAAATCATCCACTAATATAATTTCTTTCAGAAGCACTGAAGGAGAAGTTTCAAGAACACTGTGTACTGTCCGCAGCAACGTGGACCAGGCTTCATTGTAGAAGGCAATTACAACAGAGGTTGTGGGCAGCTTTCTGTAGTTATATGATTTAGTTTTACAGCCACTCATTCGATTGTCTTCAATGTGCCGATGGAGAGAGATTTTATCACTCAAATAAATATTAATTGCATACTTATCGATCAGCTCTGCTTCCTGTTTCTTTTCTTCGGGGCTCAGCTGCAGGCGAGTGGGTTTGCCCCATTCTCCCGGGGCATAAGAATCGGGTGGAGATTTGTCATAAACCGGGCGAGCCAAATCCACCGCCTCTTCTGCTCCGTCCGTAAAGCGCCGCTCCCATTTCCCTTTGGAGATGCTCTCCCCGGCGAGGGAGGCACCGAAGGAAGAAACAGACAGCTCCAAAGCGAAGTAGGCGACAGTCAAGAAGCCCAACAACGCACAGCTTCTGCGGACCCACGTCCACCTTCTCGCCAGCCGGATCCTCATGGCAGCCCCTCGCAAGCAGCCCCTCGCGGAGCGGAGCTCGGGGAGCCGCCGCCGCCACCGGCTTCCCTCACGCCCCCGGCTGCCCCCGCGCGGGGCTCGGGCCGACACCGGAGGTACGGCAGGCCGGGCCGGGGAGACGAGGGGCGGCAGAAAGGCACGGCACGGCCCCCGCCCGCACGGCCCCGCCGCTGCCCTCGCTTACTTGCTCGCCTGCTTGCTTCCTCCTCCCCCTCCTCCTCCTCCCCTCTCATCGCGGGACAAACCCCTCCCCCGCCCTGTGGTTTGCTCAAAAACTTGTCGCTTAAGGAAGAGGCAGAGACTCGCCGCCCGGCTGCCCGGCCGGCGCGGGAGGCCGCCCCGCCCCCCGGACCCGCTCCCGGAACCGCCGCCGGAGCGGCTCAGTCCGGCGGGCGGGGAGAGCCGCTTCCCGCCCCGCGCACTCACCGAGCTCGGCGGCGCTCGCACTGAAGGCGACGCCCGTCACCGCCGCCCCGTGGCCTCTGAGGGGACGGATCAAGACAGGGTCCTCCTGAGGGAAAGCGGCGCTCCGTCAGAGCCGTGGCAAAGACCCGCGCCCTTCTCCGCCCCCCGTCCCGCTCCCTTACCAGCGCGGAGGCCATGGGCGGAGCGGGCTGCTGCGGCCGCCCGAGCGACGCCTCAAACCCCGCGCGCTCCAGGCCGGCCGGTCGAGCCCCGAGCTCCTCCGCGGCACCCGCCTCGCGTCCTGCGATCCGCCCATTGGCGGCCTCACGGGAGGAGCGGGGCGGGGCTGTGCCCTGCCAGCACCCGCTCTCTTTCCCGCCGTCGGTACTCGATCTTTTCTCTTTTTTTTTTTTTTTTTTTCTCCCCGACTAAAGCCTGTCGTTTTTCTTCGCTGTAGGAGCGTCACCCAAGCAGCAGACTTGGCAAGGAGTGCCTGAGGGTAATTTCAGGAGTCAGTCTGCAGTGCGTGTTTCTATCAGTGCTTTTATCTGCCTCTTCCTTCCTTCAGGGGAGCTGGGGAAAGGACAAAACCTTCAGAGCTGGTGAAAGTTACGGCCTGGATCTTCCTTTAACGCAGAACAACTATAAGTTGTAAGTAACACCTCTGTGAGCGATTTTGCATTAAACAAGCTAGTATTGGCCTCTTCTCTCCCCCTCCCCTTCTTTATTAACCTGTTTGTGCTTTCCACATTTCCCAGTTAGTGTTTGTACTGCACAGAATTGTCTTCAAATGCTCCTTTAATGATTCACAGAATGGGTTGGGCTGGAAAGGACATTAAAGCCTATTCATTTTCAACCCTCTGATAAGGGCAGGGTTGCCATCCACTAGACCAAGTTGCTCATGATCCCATCCAACCTGGCCTTGAACCAGGGATGGGACATCCACAGTTCCCCTGTGCAACCTGTTCCACTGCCTCACCACCTTTGGAGTAAAAAATTTCAACATCTTACTTAAATCTCCTCTCCTTTAAACCATTCCCTCTTGTCCTACCTCTGTTTGCCCACACAAAAAGGCTGTCCCCCTCCTGCTTATAAACTCCCTTTAAGTACTGAAGGGCTGCAGTATGGTCTACCAGGAGCACTCGCCAGGCTGAGCATGCTCAACACCCTCAACTTTTCTCCATAGGACCAGCTCTCTGATCATCTTAGTGGACCCGTTCCAACAACTCCATGTCCTTCCTGTGCTGTGTGTCCCCAAAGCTGTACTCTGTACTCCTGATGGGGCCTCACAAGGGCAGAGGAGAGGGGGACAATTACCTCCCTTGTCTTGATGGCCACCCCTCTTAATGCAACCCATGATACAGGTGGGCTTCCCAGCTGCAATGCTTTAAAAAAGTACAAGTAGACTTTTTGTTCTGTTTAAACTACAAAAAAGTTACTGTTACTAGTGGTGCCAATGTTTGTGCAGCCTTTCAAATCCTTAGATAGGGAAACCAACCTCAAGGGAAAAATACTGCTTCAATAGTTGTACTAGGAGAAATAGGTAAAAGTAATTGGCAAATGGAAGGCTAAGGTTGCTATCAGGCTGTCGTTCAATATGCAGGCATTCATGGAGAAATAGCTTATACTGCAATTACCCTTTTTTTTTTTTTTTTTTTTTTAATCTAGCCTGCATTTTTGCAGCGTTTCATCTGACATTGAACTCCAGCATCTATAGAATCAGGTTAGTAATTAGGCCAACATGTAAGATTGGTCAGTTACAGAACAGCTCCAAATCAATTATATTTAACCATGAAATTTAGATTTAAAATAGCAATTTAGAAATACTGGAAGAAGCAGGATTATCACGAGTATGTGAAAAAGGTTTCCATTATTATCTTCTACTCAGACCTTTCATTGCATAATGGTTATTTGGCTTTACAGCTTCAGAGCTTGAGAGAAGTTTTTCAAAAAATAAATGGTGGGACGCATTGACTTAAACTTTGACCTAAGTAAAACTACAGCTTTATGTCATTATTTGTTCTTGGCTTGGCACTGTATTTTTCCACACAGCACTCTAATTCATCCCTTCATGTTAACTTCCATGACATAACTATTACAAAGTAAAAATCTAGCATTAAAAAATTGGTAATAATAAGACTTGAGTGTCCCACATTCTGCCATGTTGTAGGAACACTGAGGTATCCTCAGTGAGTTCACTTGCCCTCCTTACCACTATGGAAGTCTTCCAGCCACTTCTTTACTCTTTGTCCAGCTATCCCATTTCTCCTAAGGTTTATTGACTGAGTGAAGCCTATCAGCAGGGAAACAGCCAAGCACCCATGGGCTGTATGCATCTGGGAAGCAATTTTAGTACCAGTTCAAGTTTCTGCATTATATTTTCTGAGAGAAATTATCCTCTACTTCTGTAATTCACTGTTGCAGTATCTCAGTATTTCTGGTATCTTGTGTTCTGGAAGCCAGTGGGCAGGAGTACTTGGCATTATATTTACAAGCTGATATAAATGGGAGTTAAGTAATAATGAATCTTTCTCCTTTTACTGCCAGCTACATCAGCTGGCATCAGGTACATACATTTCCAGCAGATCAGTATCTTTTATTCATTTTAGAGTGTTGCCAATTAACAAAAATCTGTATCTGGCCCTAAAATTCCTGACATAGTGCCAGGTGATAGGCACAAAGTGAAGAAAGAACTGCAACTACTGAAAGGAGTATGGATATCACTGTTTCTACTGGCTGAAAGTTTCTCAACTTTCAGGGTTTACAAAGTTAATCTGTTCCTTGCTGCTTTCCCTCACCTGAGGGCATTTTGAGGACTCCCAAATGATTGTAGGAGATGAAGTACTCCCTTGTTGCAGATATATAATTAGCTATAATAATTGTAGCTATAAGGCTGGCAGGTAATAGTCTTTATGTAGATTTCTTTTTCTCATTAGCATGCATAGATTTTATTTTTAGAATGATTTTCTGATTCTTGAATCTCCTAATTATTTAGTAAAATTATGAGTTGACATGAACTTTTTTATGGTTGAGAGCAACTGTTCTGTAATACACAGCTGCAATCTGCTATACAGGGTTGCTTGTATGCCATGATGGCAAAGACAAATGGTGCATCAGAAGATGCCTTCCAAGCATAATGCCTCAGCAAGCTGCTGCTTTATCACCTGTGATATTGTTCTCAGATACTGAGTTAAGGTAGTGTGTGTATGTCCAACCAGAAACTGCATAGAGGAGCGCTAAGATTGTAGCTCAAAGGTATGTGGGTTACCTGGTCACAGTAGGGAAGGGCCTGATTAAATTATGTGTTGAATTCAAGGACGCTTGGACAAGCTTAGTACTTTTCTTGCATACATGTTGCAATGCATGCATAAATTAAGTTGAGCACATATTGTTTCATAATTACATAGGTAATAATGCATGTGGCACTAGGGATGAACTGAACATCCTCTCAAATATTGGAATGCCACAATGAGGTCTCCCCAGAGCCTTCCCTTCTCCAAGCTAAACAAGTCCAGTTCCCTCCACCTTTCTTTGTAGTAGAGGCCCTCCAGCCCTCTGATCATCTTAGTGGCTCTCCTCTGGACTTGTTCCAAGAGCTCCACATCCTTCCTGTACTGGGGCTATTTTGCAGTTATAGAACTATTGCAACTTTTTCCTTTTGCATCTTTCCAATCTGCTGCATTGTTTTCTGCTGTGTTAAAAAGAGCTTTGAAATAAGACTGTAAAACTGTGGAGTGCTGTTGGTTTGGAGAAATTTTCTTATCAAAGTCCCATTAAAATCTCTTTATCAATGACATCTAGAACATAAAAGGATTGCAAGCTTGTACATACAGATTTATAATGCAAGGGTGATTCAAAAAATCACTGATGTTACTTATAGTCTAAGATGCATATACCTGAGAGAGAACTGGAAATTACCTTTTAGGGATGACAGAATAGTTTATTTGAAGAAAGTCACTTGAAATTTTCAAAAATATTGTTTGACCTCAAAGACTTGTTGAAGAGCACTCATGGAAGCTTTTAGTGGGAAAGCTTGGTAGGTGTATTTGTTGTGTATTCTTATACTCTGTGCATAAATCATTGTATCAAATTATTTCCTTAGCCTGACAGATCAGATCAGCTGAATCTGAACAAAAATTGAAATTTCAGGAATGAGCAATGAGTAGATCAGAAGGAAGTTGTACAGTGTGTTAAGTATCAGAATGCATATGATAAACTGAGGGAAAGTTCAGAAACATTTTTCTTGTTCTTGCGAGCAATCAAAGAAGGAAGGCATAAAAATTAGTTAAACCCCATGCATTGCTTTCCTGGCTGTTAACTCTTCATAGGACTGCAGATCAGTAGACCTTGATAAGCATCTAGATAGTACAAGATCTGTTTCCAAACAGATCTTTCTAGCTTTCAGCTAGAAGGTAGCTGCAGCCCTTTCAAAGCACCGCACTGTGCTCCTGGCAGACCTTTCATCAGCTGGTCTAAAAAACTTGAGGAGACAGCAAACACTCCAGCTACAGAAACTCTAGATTTTCTTGCTGTGGAAACGGGGTGCTTTTTTTGCCACTAAATGCAAGATAGAACCATAATCAGCACCTGCTTCATGTCACAGCTTTCTACTCTTCACAAAAGGTAAAAGATATGATAGGAGTTTTATGTTAGTGAAGTGCTCGTAACTGTATTACGTAGTTCAGATGAGGCTCTTACCAAAGCAAGGCATACATGGCAAATTACCCAATATTTAAGTACTACTAGCTTAATTAAAATATTAATTTACATTTTACATCTAAATCTGCTAATGAGGTAGCTCAGGAAACCTATTAAAATACATGAAAGTTATTGAATATTGAATGGTTTGTATTCATTAAAATCAGTGGCAGCCTCATGTAGATGGCTATGGAGTATTTCGTATTTATGATGTCTGTAATCTGTATCACTGTTCTATTTCCAAATAAACTACATAATCTCCAGTGTAAATCTTCTAATGAAAATGAGTTGTAGCTTTTTGAATTGCACTGGTTATAGCTATTCTATTAGCTAAACTAAAACATTTGGATTCATTTATTTTTTGGATTTTTTTTTTCCAGCCAGACAAGTTAGATATTGCATGCAAGCCACATGTATCTCTAATTAGAAATTGGAAGGCATTGTGTTTTAGATCTACATGGTTCTATAGTTCAATAACTATATAGTGGGATGGATTAAAATGTCAAGAGCTTTGATTCCTTAAATAATTAGTTTTATATTTGCATAGATTGATGAAATGGTGACAAATTTACATACGTGGTTAAATGACTTTGTAAGATGTCCTTGATACTTGAAGGTATCCTTGAAATAGGGCAAGAGAGGAAGAATGTGTAACAGGGCATTGCTTAAGCACAGTACAGAAATATAGTAATCTAAATATAATTTTTAATGTTCACAGTAGCTTGCAGCTGATAGATTTTTAAGATTTTTTCCTTTTTCACTGTACAATTTGTATTTTTATTGAAGGATACATAAGAGAACTTTTAAGTGCCTGAAGGGAAACACCTGTAAAGAGAAACAGCATAATTTACGCTACAAAACAAATAACTGTCTAGATTAGAAGCTGAGTGGCAGTTACTCTGCCAAAGAATTTGTCTTTAAGTCATTAGAATTTGTGAAAAAAAATGGGTGTGTTATCCAAAGGGTTTTTTTGTTTGTTCCTTTTAATTGGGATAATTTGTATAAAAGAAGCGTATCTTTATAATGACTTCAGGGAATTACATTTCTTAATGTTTCTCCGTAAGTACCTTAAAAGCACAGTGAAGATACTTCACGTAATAATATGCACTTCAAGTATGCTGCAAGCTCTGTTTAAGCCTTAGTTTCACCTCCAGTGTTCGTTATAAATCATGGTCTCTGTAACGTACACATTTTGTTGGAAACTGTGAGAATACTTGCAGCCACAGATTTTTTTTCTGATAATGAGATTGGTTTGACTAGTAGAATTTTCTGGGATAATGGATAACTTCTGTCACTGGAGAAGTGGGCCCATGGGAGCGTAATGAGGTTCAACAAAGTGAAGTGCAAGGTGCTGTGCTTGGGCTGGGGTAATCCCAGGTATTTATACAAACTGGGGGAAGATCTCCTTCAGAGCAGCCCTGTGGGAAGGACTTGGTGTTCCTGGTGGACAAGAAGCTGGACATGAGCCAGCGGTGTGTGCTTGCAGCCCAGAAGGCCAACTGTGTTCTGGGCTGCATTAAAAAAGGGGTGGGCAGCAAGGAGAGGGAGGTGATTGTCCCCATCTACTCAGCTCTTGTGAGCCCCCATCTGCAGTACTGCATCCAGGTCTGGGGCCCCCAGCACAGGAAGGACGTGGAGCTCTTGGAGCAGGTCCAGAGGAGGGCAC